TAAAAACGAAGAGAAATTAAAAATATCACCATGTGAAGCTGTCGCCTAACCATAATTATGTATAAAGTGATATTTTTCAATAGTCGTGAACCCCCGGCTTTGTTTTTATGCGTACTTCAATCGCGTGGAAGAATTTTGCAATTTTATAAAGTCAATTTGCTCACGAATAAAAAGTCGAAAACTTCTGAACTGAGTGTTTTAAGTATGAAAATGTTCTGCTATGCGGTCCGCAACTTATCCTGGTATTATGTTGTGCACGAAAGCCAATAAAAAAATTTCCAAGCGTAAAAACTATATTCGAATGTGTCAGTAAAAAGGATGACTTTAGGATCCTCTTAAGCTCAAACGCTTAAGTAGATTATCGAAGTCTCTTCTATCAATTTTAATCATCGGATAACTAAATTAAATTTACAGAAATAAATTCTCCACAGTGCGGAGAGGGGAGATTGTTGTCTTGAATGCCAAGCGTAAAATAAATTAGATTAGACACTTAAAATAAATTAGAAATCGTTCATCGATTTGAAATACGTGAATTTGCCGACGACAATATTCCATCTAGACGAAACTGTGTTATGTCCGAGAAGAAACCGGCGCACAGGACAGGTGGAAAAACAGTACGCGAATTCACATATTACAATAGATACAAATCACTGGGCTATCTACACCTTGCTCGGACCTATAAGGCGTCCTCGTTTGTTTGAGAAATAAATTTGTATTATTTAGTAGCTGTCCAACGGGGTGAGTGAAAAAAAAAAAATATGTTCCCCAGTTAGTTTCACGATTCTGCGGGAGCAAAAATGCGTGTCGATGTCCAACAAATCACCGGCGAATCGCCGCGGCCTACCGGTCGGTGGAGAACGACGAGCCGAGCGTTTCGTTCGCTACCCCGCCTAACCAATTACGTGCATGCATCAGCGGTGCACGGAAATAAGCTGACGGTGATGTATGCGCCGGTCGGCGGAAGGGTGCGCGGGCACGAGACGAGAGCGGAGGAAGACGATGAAGAGGAGGAAAAAGACGAACGACTACGCCCGCGAGAGATGCTATCGTTATCTGCGCCAATAAACTCGGGCCGTCTCGTGGTACCACGCGGTACATCACCGCCATCGTGCGCGCAAAGTGATGACGAGCGATGACCCGGGGGTAGGCGTCGTCGAATGAAGGTATATCCGCTTGTCATCGTGGCCTTTGCGACTGCTGATTGGTAGGCGGTTCGCGATGAAAGCCGGAGAGGAGCTTTAAGCTCGGCGCGCGGCGCATTTACATACTCACGCGGTCTCGCGGCGACGACTCGGTTTGCTCTTGCGCGATTACGTCACAGGTGCCGGGCTTGAGAGCCTATGCGCTTGTGTAATTATTAAAATAACGCGCGCAAATAGCATCGCTCTATTTGGATCGGCGATGCGGTACGTGGACCGACTAAGAATCTACTAATTGAGATCTAGCAATTAATGCAAATCCACAAGGAATTTCTAGAATCAGTTTCTACTTATTTCATCATGCTAGAACTTCTGGAGGACGGGGGGGGGGGAAGAGTGAAGGTTGTCAAGAATATAAGAATATAGATAAGAGGAATACGTAGAAAAATCGGGAGATTATTATCTTCTGATAATTTATCGTAGCGTCTAACTGCGTTTTTTTTTTTTTTGGTTTAACGTCGATATGCCCGTTCGATTGCGCCGCGCGAAATTCGCCGCTCGCGAGGTCGAGAGCGCGCGTAGGAGATTAAATCAAGGAGCAAGCGGGTCTTCCATAGATTACCACGGTGGAACATCCAGCGCCGGTTGGCCGCACGACAATGTGGTAATTAATTGAAGCAAGACCGTCCCCGACAGCCTCTCTTCCTCTTTTGCTTTTTCTCCCTTCGCTCTCTAGCCAAGAGAGCTGCTCGCGGCCTTTCAAAGCATTCCAAAGCGCGAGTCCGCCCGTTCCTCTCCACGGCCACCGCTCGCTTCTTCTTCTTCTTGCCCCCTCTCGCCCGTCCACCCGCCCGCCCGTCCGTCTCGCCCTTCCTGCCGGTGTCGAGTCATTTCACGAAAGACCCGAGGCCGCATCTTTATTTCTTTCCCTTTTGTCTTATAGATCTCTACAAGGACTACAATATATCGTATGGATCTTAGCTACCACAGATCGTAACTTCTGATCCTAGGCTTATTAGTTTCGACAGTCTCTATATTTGAAGTTCATTGAACTGAGTTTCGTAATGCGGTAGTAACAGAGAACCCCTAGGCTACCGAGAACAAAATTTACTAACGATTGCACCGAAGTGTGGCATGTACCTCTCTCATATACGGAAATCCGTCATAGTAAAGGAAAGAAGAAGAGAGAAAATACTATTAAAGGTAGTCCAGGTTTAAATGCTGCAATTTGTAATTTTATAAAATCTTAAATTCCTTGAACCTTGAGATTCTTCCGAATTCGATTTCTTTGTATTTTAATTCTCTTGACTATCGGTTTGTGTTAATTTCCAGGTTTGACAAGCGTTCGATTTCCGCGGACTCGGCTCAGCTCGCAAGTCCAATGTCACATTGGCGCAAACTGACACTATTTATC